CTGAAACCATTGATGTTGGCTCTGAGCATAGCAGTTTTGCTTGGTAGGAAATATCTAGCTAAAAAGACCTTTTTCAACTCATACCATGTGGTGATTGAGTTTGAAGGAAGAGATTGGAGCCATGCTCGAGCTCTATCTCTTAAAGAAAAGGGAAATAGGCGCAATCGTATCGCCTCGGGGTTTACACCATTCGCTTTTACAGTGTCTGCGTACTGCACAAACACTGATAGATGTAGGTTTGGGTCGTCAGTAGGAGATCCAGAAAATTGGTTCTGCTGAACGGCGTATAGAAGCGAAGGTTTCAGCATGAAATCGTTTCGAGCGATAGCAGGAGCGAAAATGCTGTTATGGGGCTCTGCTTGAGAAGGAACTGTGTAATCCTTAAGAGCACGGGGTGGATTTGGTACGTCAGCCATCTTAGATTCTTCAATTAATTCAGGGATTGAGATATCAGGGAGCTTAGTCGGAGGAAGATTGTTGAGATCACGGTATTCTTGAACTCGGCGTCTTACTCTGAGATAGCGCTCGATATCATTGATTTGTAAATGCAAAGGCTCGCTTTGGGAGCGAGTATTTTGCATACAACAGAGGGAAAAATAAATAGTTGCCTTAGTCTATACAGTACTACTTTACGAGTGCACTAGTGACTAAATCAAAATCCCTGGCAACAGCGCCAAAAACTTGATGTTTGCGATCGACCTAATATGTCTAACGGTATCTTAACTTCAAGTGCACAGCCTATCGCGGTAGTAATAAAAAGATGTCGAACCCACAGGGACTTTGTAATCACTCTAATGCTATAAAGGTTTGCTAGTTTAGCTAAGGCGGATGTTGTCACGTTTGTTTTTTCAGTGATTAAGGTAGGGGAAAATAAATCTAATTAAGGAAATAATAATAAAACGGTCGGTATGTAATATAGTGAACCTAAGTGGATCTAATCGAACCTAAGCATATAAAGATGTTTAACTTAGATGGCTCTGTAGAAATTATCAGTTTAAAAACCCTCAACTCACACTTCCGTGGTCTTATCTCGGATTATACCCCTAAAGCCCTATGCCTGCTCTCGCTAGCCCATAAGTGTTTAGAAAATACTCTTTGAAAACTTAATAAAATCTAATTCATTTTAAAGCGCTCTCGCTATATTTAAATCAAATGCCTAACTTTAGCTATCCGGTTAAAACCTCACACTTTCGTGGTCTCGATCCTAACCTATTCTACTTTTCTTACTCTCGTAACAAAAAGATTGTTTTTTTTATTATAAAAAGTCACAGCCAGAAATTAAGTTAATGTAGATTTTAGCTTAGGCACAATTTAATCCATTTGGTTACTATTATCACATCCCGACTCTAGAAAATTAGCTAGTCATAAGACTCGAAATAGACATACAGAAAATATAATCGGGAAAGAATAAAACATTCATGATAAATAAATAAATAAATAAATAAACATAAACAAATTGTATTAAAATTAAATTAAATGCGATTAAAAAAAAACCTGAATAACAATATTATTCCTCAAGCCCCCTCTTCCACAAGTCAGCAAGATTGGAACTTCGGAATCGGAACTTGAAACAAATTCTGAGGCTAAAAATAAATTCTGACTACAATAGCAATTTCCTAATGTTGGAAATAGCTATTAATTGGTAAAAGGGAAAATAAAGCAGGAACAAAAAAATTGCAAACGGAATGTTATTAAATTTGGCAGGGCTTCGGCAAGAAATTCTGTAGAAAAAAACTCTGGTTCCATTAAAATATCTCCTACTTATAGAAGAGAATTTTTGCAGTTAAGAAAATTTAGGAACGTGGACTTGCATTGCTTGAGTGGAGGAAGACCAGGACTGGTCGTTGGTGAAGTTGAGAATCTGTAGGAGTTGAAAAGATCCTTCCATTACGTTGCCCACGTCTCTTGTTCTGCATGACGTTGAATTACGCGTGTGACGGTCGTAATGAAGAGGTGACGGTCGTAATCCGCTTAAATAGCGCGTTATGTTCGTCAATGATGTGTGACGAGCGTTCTTCAGGTTGTGAGTGCGTTACACTCGTAATCGAGGTGTGACGACCATCACAACATCAAACTTTGCAGAATTTTGCAGAGTAGTTCTTTTTCTTCTGATTTTTATGTTAGCTTCCTTCATGTGATCTTTTTCACTAATTTGATTTGAAACATGTTGTACCTGTGAAAAGACATGGAAACTCAGAACAATCGGGAGTTAAATGGGTTAATGCAGTATGAAAATCAATTAAAAAGGTAGCAATTATATGATACGATTTCTCGTTATCACCTCCTATCTCAATGATTGAGGGATTTATAAGAAGAATATGGAAAACTAAAGGAATTAACAAGGTAAAGTCTATTAATCATGGTGTTTTCATTGATAGGTTTGATTCTGTTGAGAAAAGAGACGAAGTCCTCAAGGATGGTTATGTGTTCTTTGATAAAAAGCCTTTGATCATGAAACCATGGGATCAACAGACGGATTTTAAAAAGGAGGATATCCATTATATCCCTATATGAGTTAGATTGGAGGAACTAGACAAAAAGTATTGGGGGAGAGAAAGCACTATACAAAATCATTGGGCAAGTTGACAAACCAGTGAGGGTTGACAGAGCTACTAAGTTGAGGGAGAGGCTTAACAATCCAAGAGTGATGATAGAGGTCTCTATTGAGGCAGACTTGCCTAATGTTACTTAGTTTGAAGATGAGAATGGAGGTAATATGGAAATCCGAGTGGGATATGAATAGGGACCTGACAAATATGCACATTGTCAAGGCATGGGGCATAGAGTTGAAGATTGCAGGAAGAGATTCCCAAAGAAGCGATAATAGATAGTGAAAAAGAAGATTGTAGATAAGCCTCAACCAGAAGTTAAAGATGCTGATGGTTTTCAAAAGGCAACTAAAGCAGTCAAATACAAGGCTAAAGCTGCATAAGTGGTGAATATGATTGAAAACCCTTTCCAAACATTGCAAAAATTTGAGGAAGGATAAAGCTCAAGAGGAGATCAGGTTATGAATAGTACAATTGAGAAAGGAGGGAAGGGAGGATCCCTTATTAATAATGGATAGGATTGTAGCCTAGAATGTCAAGGGGAAAATAACCACATGAAACAAAGATAGATTAAAAAGATGATACTTTGTAACATGGTGAGAATTATGTGCCTACTTAAAACTAGAGTCAAGGCTCATAACCTTGGAAACCTGTATCATAATGTGTTTTCTGGATGGTGTTTCACATCTAACATAGCTAGTCATGAAGGTGGAAGAATGGAGTTAGGGTGGAATCCTGAGATATATGAGGTGGATATCTTGAAGAGTACTAGCCAAATTATTCATCTAAAAATCAAGCACCTAGGGCATCAGTGGGAGAGTTTGGTAACTTTTGTGTACGACTTCAACACTGATAAAGAAAGATTAGATCTCTAGAAAGACTTGAGTGAAGTGTCGAGTAGTAATCCCTGGATCATCATGCAAGATTTTAATGATATTCTCTCTAGGGAGGATATAATTGGGAAGAAGGCTAGATATCCTAATAACAATAGTTTTCTTCAATGTGTTCAGGAATGTCAGTTGGAAGATATCAAATATACTGGTATCTATTTTACTTGGAATAATCAGAAGCAGGGGAGTGACACAATTTATTCTAAGATTGACAAAGATTTATCTAATCAAAGTTGGTTAAACTCTCGTACTTATGCTAATAATCATTTCATGATGTAAGGCAAGTTTGATCACACTCATATCATTCTCACCATAGACCATGAGGTGGTAGGGGGGAAAACCTTTTAGGTATTTTAGAATGTGGCATAAATACTATGGGCTCAAAGATAGGCTCAAAGACTGTTGGAATAAATCCTGTTATGGGACTCCAATGTGTAGAGTTTTTCATAAGATGAAGAGAATGAAGAAGATGCTAAAGGATATCAACATGAAAAGGTTTAACAATATTCAGGAGGCTGAGTTGGTAGCTAGGCATAATCTTGAGGAGAGTCAAGAAGAGCTTAGAAAAGATCCCATCAATTTGATGTTAATGGATAAGGAACACTCTGGTAGAAGAGTTGTTGTGGAGACTAGCCAAGCTTACTATGAGTTCCTAGCCCAAAAAGCTCACCATAGATGGATGAAATATGGTGGTGCTAATACAAAATTGTTTCATGCTAGTATTAGGAAAAGAAATAACACAAATATGATTACTTCTATAACTAGTAAGGAAGGGTCTTGGTTGAATGATCCTAAAGAGGTGACATCTGAATTCATTTCTTTTTATGAAAAGTTACTTGGGAACTCCTTGAGCAACAGAATTAAAGTGAAGTCTAGCATCCTGGAGCAAAGGAAGAAGCTTAATCAGAGGCAGAGAGATTTCCTAATGAGATCTTATGCAGAAGATAAAGTGAAGAAGGTTGTTTTTAGTGTCCCGAGTGAGAAAGCTCCAGGTCTGAATGGCTATAGTAATTAATTTCTTCAATATAACCGGGATATTATTGGCGAGGAGGTCAATGAAGTTGTTATCTCTTTTCTGAACTCTGGTAATATCCTAAAATAAATCAACACTACTGTAATCACCTTAGTTCATAAGTCCAAGTGTCCTAATCTGGTGAGTGATTATAGATTTGTCTCCTGTTGTAATGTGATTTATAAGGTTGCTTCTAAAATCTCATGTAATCGTCTTAGAGAGATTTTACCTGATATTATAGTTCAGAATCAAGGTGGTTTTATTAAGGGTAGATTCATAGCCCATAATATTATGATTTGTCAGGACTTAGTCAAATATTATGGTAGAAAGAATGCTAGTCCCAATTGTATCATAAAGTTGGATGCAAAAAAAGCGTATGATACAATTGAGTGGGGCTTTATTGAAGAGATGATGAATGGGCTGAATTTCCCTAAGCATTTTACTGGTTTGGTCATGAACTGTGTTAGAACACCAAAATTTTCTTTAATGATGAATAGCTCTTTACATGGTTGCTTCAAGTCCAAGAGAGGATTGAGATAAGGAGATCCCATGTATCCTTCGTTATTTATGCTTGGGATGAAGTACATGTCTAGAATTATAAGGAAAGTTGGAGACTTTGAGGAGTTCAAGCATTATGATAATTGCAAGAATTTAAAGTTAAATCATTTATGCTTTGCATATGATGTGCTCATGTTTAGTAAGGGTGAATTTATCCCTATTTACAAGATGTTTCAAGGTATGGAGCTCTTTTCTAGAACTCCTGGCTTATATCCTAGTAAAGAAAAGATTAATGTCTTCTGCTGTGGTATGAAAGAAAAAGATATGAAGAGAGTGACTGACACCTCTGGTTTTAGTAGGGGGGTCAATGCCTTTTACTTACTTAGGAATGTCGATCAAGTTAAAAAAGATATCAACTCAGGATTGTCAAAATCTGGTTGAAACGATGACAAGTAAAATCAAATCTTGGAGCACTAGAGCTTTGTCGTTTGCTGGGAGAGTTATTCTGGTTAATTATGTGTTGATGACTTTCCATGCTTATTGGAGTCACATTACTGTTTTACCAAAGCAGGTGTTCAAGGATATTAATGCCATATGTAGAGCTTACTTGTGGACTGGTAAGACTTATAATCAGTCTGCTGGTAATATTTCTTGGCATAAAGTTTGTAAGTCTAAGCAGGAAGGTTGCTTAGGCTTCACTAATAGCAAGGTGTGGAATGTGGCAGTCATTGGGAAGTATGTTTGTTATGTTGCCAGGAAAAAAGACAATGTGCGGATAAAATGGGTTAACCAAGTGTATCTAAAAGAGGCTGGTTGGTGGGATTATGGTGTTCCATCCTATGGGAGTTGGTATTGGAAGAAAATTATGGAGGTCAAAGACAGTTTAAAGACCAAGAAACAGTATATTGAAAAAGAGAAGTATAACATCAAATAGATTTATAAAATTCTTTAGGGGAATGGTGAGAAGTACTTTTGTACCCCAAAATTTTCCCTCTCATTTATCAAGAATTTGCTCACAAGATCTCTTTTGGCTCAAGACTGCACTAGGGTTGATCAGTTCAAGACACCTCCTTAAGCACTGATGACCAAAATTAGGGTTTGAGATTGCACAAGGATATTTGAACTTTCAATGCTTCATATGACTTTCATGTATCATTATGGACCCCCAAGATTACTCATGTCAAGTTTCAAGCCTTGGATCACACTTTTGCTCAGTCAATTGAGCAGTTGACCTAAAAAACCAATTGTATTGGGGAAAAAGTAAACTATGTCCAATTTACAGTAAAACTTCATAATTTTTTTATCCACATCAACATTTTAAACTCATATGTATCATTTGATCAAGTTTGGACCACAATTCCTCAAGAAATTTGATCAAATCTTCAAAAGGGCAAAATGGTCAAAATTAGGGTTTTGACTGAGAAAGGGCAATTTCTGATTTTTGACCTAGCAAATGACCAATTGGGGCATGATATCCAGAGTCCAATTGTATAATTTTGACCTAATTGCATGGCTCAAAACATTGCAAATCCAATGGATTGACAGATGAATTTTCAGTCAACTGATCAAAAGTCAACTGTATATTGAAAAGTCAAACTTTGACTTTTTGGACAAAATCAAATTTCAAAGATCACAATTCATCAAATCATGTAAAAATATGAAACTTATTCATCAATAAATCAAAAATTCAAGATTTCATTTTGAAAAGTTAAAATTTCTAAACTTAAAATTTTTTCCAAGTGTTGGAAATTTCTTATTTTTTCACTACTTTGAGCAAACTTTTCACCATGATGAAAGATGATTCAAGAGAAACTTCCAACATGAAAGTTGTAGATCTCCATGAAAACTACAACTTTTATTTACACAACTCCTTCCAAAAATGCTTGGATCTCAAGTTATAATTTTAAGAACACTTGGTCATGAAACAAAACACTTAGTGAAATTTTGCCCTAATTTGGTCAGGATTTTGAACCAACTTCATGGCACATTTTCATATAGTTCCAATGGGAATTTTCAAAAGTAATTCAAATATGGGTTGTATATAAAATTTCAAGATTTGCAAAATGTCCAAGAACTCCTTGAGATCATTTTTGAGTAGGGAGAATCGAAGAGATGAAGTTAAGGTTTTATCACTTGATATACAAGGCATTTTGTGATGAACAATTCAAAATTCAAAGATGTGTTGCATAACTTCTACTTTGCAGCCCTCAAACTTGTTAGGAACTCCATAATTAATTGCTTGCACAACTATTAGAGGTCTCATTTCAATCATTCAATGCAAGGCCATGCTTTATATCCATTTTGGGAAGAAAGTGCACATTGCCATTTTGATAAAGTGACTTTTTGTACAAAACTTGTTCTTGAGCCTTGCACTTGTTCTCTTATGATCATACATGTCTCATAACACAAGATAAATGGTTTAGACACTTACAATCACCCAGCCCATGCTTGTACTTCACATTGAAACTTGATTTCCCACTTTTCTTGAAAATCAAGTAACATAGCAAATAGCTTGTAACTTGTACTTCTGACTTGCCAAATTAATCAAGACTCTTTTCTTATAGACACACAAGCCATTTTCCACAAAACACGCGCATACTTAATCCCTGAAAACATCTAGAGCACAGAATCACCAAAAATACTTCAAAACTTGTCATTTCTGAGTTTTGAAGCCAATCTTCAAATCTACTCGTGCATTTCTTGGCCTTTTACTTTCAAAAGCTTCTAAACAACATACACAAACAATCCCAACACCTGCAGCACCACTGCAACACCTCCATCATCATCCACCATTTTCAAAAGTAGAGCTTTGCACTTGAACTTCTCTAGAACTCCTCATGCACTTTCAGCTCAAGCTAAGCATCCCATTAGCCTCCTGGGAACTTGAGGAAGCTAACCCAATCATTGGAACTCACTGAAAGCTTCTCAAACTCCAAACCTGATACCCTCTTGCAAGGTAAGTTTTCTAACTTTGGAACTTTTCATGCAGACATCATCAATGATTTATTTGTGAATGAAAAATGTAGATATCATTGCCCTAAAGCTAACCATGTCCATAGTTTTCATTAATTTTGCTTGAGCTTAGAGAATTTTAAGATTGAAGTTTATGAGATTTTTAGGGTTCATAATAGGGCCATTAAAATTCATGTTTATCTTTGAGCTATAATTATTTTACTTTGCATTTCTGAAATCGTGAGAAAATTTACTACAAGTTTCATGTTTACAGTTTTCTTTTTTATTGAGATTTGAATGAGATACAGAGCTTCTAGCTGGGCGTGAGGTTGAAGATGAAGTTTACCTCAGGAACGTGTTTACTATATATATATATATATATATATATATATATATATATATATATATATATATATATATATATATATATATATATATATATATATATATATATATATATATATATATATATATATATATATATATATATATATATATATATATATATATATATATATATATATATATATATATATATATATATATATATATATATATATATATATATATATATATATATATATATGGTTTGATTTATATAAACGGATGTATAGTCACCCCATTGGTAGAAGCGCGCGCCTGTAACCAGAGGGACCTGGGTTCGAGCCCCAGTGGTACCCTTTTGGATATTTCCATATTTTTTTCATATATTCTGACTTTTTTTGGCATGCACTGGGCCTCCTCTGGGCCCTATGTTTTTTTTGTTACCTCTCACCCCCTGTTTCACTTATACAGCCTGTGGCCCATTTTATTTTCTTTTCTTATTTTCATTTTATTTATTTTCTTAATTATTTTTATAATATTAAAAAAATCATAAAATATATAAAAATAGTAGATTTATATTTTAACATAGTTTATTTATTTTTTCTCACACAAAAATTATTTTATTTAATCATACTTTATTTTATTTTGATTAATTATTTTGTAAATTTAATTAAAAAACTAGGTTTTTATTTATTTTATTTTATGCCAATTAAAATATATTATTTTAATATAAAAAAGGTCAAAAATATTTTATAATACTATAAATTATTTTCAAGACAAAAATACCAAAAATACTTTTCTTAAACTTAATTTTTTTAATCAATTAATAGATTAGGGTTTTATTTAATTTTTTTTCCTAGTAAATTTAGGTTCACTTTTTGTTATTTTAATTAACTATTTTCTTTTAATTAATTAGGTTAAAACAAATTCCCTTTTCCTAAAAAATCCAAACAAAAATATCTATTTTCTTCACATTTGCTTTCTTGTATATTTATCCATTATGTATATTATTTATGTCAACTCTTGTATAAATTCGATATGGTTGTAATAGATTAATTAGGTTTATTTTCTTGCAATCCCCATTTATAATTTGTACACCCCCCTCCCACAAGTATTGTAATAGCGTAGTAATTTTAAAATTCCGCAATTTATCGCTTTTATATACAAATGCTAGTAATTATGGTTTGTATGGAAAGACTAAAACCAATACTTAGAAAACCCTAATCAAAGACAAAACCAAGCATGAAAAACAATACACTTGCACACAAGCACCCCTAGGGTAAATCCACTTGGTTGCCTTTACAGAATGGCCATATTACGCATGTGAGGCATCTTAGCAAAAACAAGTAAAATATAAGATCATAGTCCCTCAATGACGCTATCTATGTTGCCTTTCAAATGATCTTAGTCCCTAAAAAGAATGCTAAGATACCTTGCAACATTACTAATCATGGTTATACGATGACCCACGCCCGTCCCGTTTACATCCAAAGATAAGGTTACTTACCAAATCAATGGTAAGATAACAATGTCAAAGGAAAAAGGAAATGAACATGAAAGACTTTTGATTAGGTAGAATGCTTCTAATTACTTGCTCAATTTCAAAACAAAATATCCTTGCTATTTTCAAAAACAAACACCTACACTTTCAAAACGTCTTACAAACTTGAAAACATTTTCAAAAGATCAAACACTTTGTATACATTCTTACGAACGAGAATCATTACAAAGTTTGCCTAAACAATGGCCTCTTTATAGAATACTTTCAAAAACCACACAAACCACAATTCCAAACTAAAGCAAGTGATCTAGCAAGTAACTAAGAGCCCATGGAAAACCATGGATGAAAAGGGTGCTAATACCTTCCCTTTCAATAATCTACCCCCCGAACTCAAGAAATAATCTCAAAGTTCTTTCCTGTGCTTTTTCACCTTTCCTTTTGGATAAAAGAAAAGTCGGTGACGACTCTTGCTAACCACAACACTTATGATCAAACGCAAAACCTTCAAGTCAGTTCTCCCACCGTACCACAGAACTGGCGACTCTGCTGGGGATAATTCTAAAAATGGGGTTACCTTAGGGTTAGATCACATTTACTTGCTTTCTTTGTTTGACTTATATGCGTTACATTATGGTTCTTTGTTGGGTTTGAATCCTCTACCCGGATTTGGGATACCTTATAGGTAAGTAGCAATACATTATGGAAACTGTGCGGGGTATACCGACATGGTCTAAGCAATAGCTACGTTATTGCGACATATTTGTGGGTACCGGTAGGCCTTAAGTTAATCAAGGATAATACGGGGCCGCTGAGTGATGTCATGAGGCACCAATGAACTTTTAGGACTTTTACTCTACCAACTTGGCCATTAGGACGTAGTGAGATGACCGGCTTTGGTGCAGTACGAAGTTAGTAGATACTCGATAATACACTCATTGAGGTTTGGTTTTTTGGGATATTTCGGTCACCATTAAAGAGGTTTGCCCTGAAACAATGACCAAGGAAACAAACCAGTGATATTGAGCTCCTTAGAACCCGGTTACTATTGCTATGACAGATTGAGCCAACTAAACATCAAGAGGGTACTTACCTATGAGACTCCATGAAAGCCTAAACCTAAGGACTTGTTTGCTTTATTTGTATATATATACTTGTAC